TTTCTCACGGTGCCTTTTTCTGTGTGTGCGCAGGATGGAGTGGCAGCCTGACGAACAGGGGCTCCAGCAGGTCCTCCAGCTCCTGAAGGACTCCCAGTCTCCCAACACGGCCACTCAGAGGGCCGTCCAGCAGGCATCCTTTACTGGCCGCGGGGCTGGGGCGCCGGTGGGGTGGGAGGTGGGGGTCTGTGTGGTGGGTCTGGGTCCACGGTACTGTGTGCTGCCCTGTTGTCCTTAACTGCTGTGCTAAGAAACTGGAGCAGCTGAACCAATTTCCCGACTTCAACAACTACCTGATCTTCGTGCTCACGCGGCTGAAGACGGAAGGTGAGTGTGCACAAGTCTGGGGAGCCCCAGCTCCGTCTTCCTCTCCAGGGGTGATGGGCCTGAGGTTCTGCAGTCGCTGGCTTCACCGTCTCCTGTCCTGGCTCACCTGCTGTCTTCTCCCCCCCCCCACCTCCAGACGAGCCCACTCGCTCCCTGAGTGGGCTGATCCTGAAGAACAACGTGAAGGCCCACTACCAGAACTTCCCCCCCACCGTGGCCGACTTCATCAAGCAGGAGTGCCTGAACAACATCGGGGACCCCTCCCCCCTGATCCGGGCCACCATCGGTGAGACTTGGGGGTGACGGGAAGAGGGGGCGGGGGCTAGGACTGGGGTAAAAGTCCCTTTCGCTCTGCTGTCCTGCAGTTCTTACTGGCAGGGCACTTGGGACACTCTATTGCAAAGGAGGTGAAAACAGTGGTAGGATTACTGATCACGGAATAGTTCTTTGACAATGATGTGGAAGCGCTTAGAGAGCTGAGAAATATTCTAGCATGTAAGAACAAGTTAAAAGTTTAAATAGAGATGTATCACATGTGTTCAAATCCAAAGAGCTGAACCTTGTTACTCTGGAGGAGCAGGCTATGGTCTAGATTTCCAAAGCCTCAAAGAGACACTGACAGAATCAGTCTAGCGGATGTCTTCACAGCTTGGGGTGGGGCAACAACAGTGCAAACGGAATGGAAATGGATTTGTAATCACTTCTTTAAACAGGATTGTGGGAGTCGGGCTCATCGCTTGGTTACTAAGTACTGAACGGGCTAGATGGGCTCTCTTCTCTCCTGACTTCACTCTCACTCCTCCTGTGTGAATCCGTATGTAGTGTTACAAATAGCTTTTAGCAGAGCAGTGCAAGGAGCAGTTAGGATCGGAGAGGTCAGGGATGTACAGCCCATTATGCCTGATGTGTTTCTAGTGATGTAATGATCCAAGGATCACATGCTGTTTTCTTCAACCGCCTGGTTAAGAAACTGTTTACAGACTCTGGACTCTATTCTTGTCTGTACTCTGTACGTCCAGTGCTTAGGTGCTACTTCTCTGTGTCACTGCTGGTTTTGAAGATGTCTCAATATGACATTTGCTTTGACTCAGGAGCTGATCTCTTGGTTTCTCTTCTTGTTTTTTGTGCTTTTGAGATTCTTGCCTCATACACCCCAACCCTGTTCCAATCCTTTCTCCCCTCTGCCCCTTGTCTCTCACAGGCATCCTGATCACAACCATCGCCTCTAAAGGGGAGCTGCAGACCTGGCCGGAGCTCCTGCCCCAGCTCTGTAACCTGCTGAACTCAGAGGACTACAACACCTGTGAGGTCAGGCTTGGTGTTTTTTCCCCTCCTCCCTGTCTCCCTCTTGCCTCGCGCCTCCCTATCCCTGGAAGTGATGGACAGCTCTTTTCTTGACTCTCAATGATGCTGAATGTATTCATACTGTCTGATCCAGGGACCTGTTCTGCTAATGGTGGCTGAGACACTCTGGAATCCATTAGCTCTCCTGTCTCAGGCGTGTCATCTGGGGGATGGTTTCTTGTTTGTAGGCTCTGTGTCTGCTCCCCGTCTCTCTTTCTCCGTGGAAACTAAATTGAAACCTTTCTTCATTCCTGCCTTCAGGGCTCGTTCGGCGCCTTGCAGAAGGTGTGTGAAGACTCATCGGAGCTCCTCGACAGCGATGCCCTTAATCGGCCCCTCAACATCATGATCCCCAAATTCCTGCAATTCTTCAAGCACTGCAGCCCCAAAATCAGGTGAGACTCTAGAAGCCCTTAGACACCAATGCCCATCTCTCCTTCACACTCCCACTCCATGTCTGTCTAGAAGCTTCAGTGTTCAGTGTTTTGTCATGTAATTAATTCTTGGGTAGATGAGTTTGTTAGCTCTGACATCAGAACAAGGCCACTGAGCTGTTGTCCATGGGTGGGATTTCTGTTGCGTTATTAGAACTCTGTTCCCCTTTTCCCCTCCAGGTCTCATGCCATCGCCTGTGTGAATCAGTTCATCATTGGCAGAGCTCAGGCCCTGATGGACAACATAGACACCTTCATCGAGGTAATGGGC